CTGGAATGTAGAAGGTCTAATCAGCCAGTGTTATGTTAGGGGGAATAATTCCTTGATTGAGATTTATTCTAAAAGTGGGTAGATTTTCAGTGATTTTGTCTAATATCAGGAAACTAGAATCTAAATGATAGGAGGTAAAACGCGATTTTATCTTGGCATTGGCCATTGAATCAATTCTAGATGTATGTGTATTGATACCGCTGATTGGAACGTTAATTTTTTGAGTGTTCAATTTCAATTTTTTACAAAGGTCACGTGTCATGAAATTTGATTGTGATCCTGAATCCAAAAGCACACGAGCCTGATGCCATTTACCAAATCTGTCAAGAATATCAATTATTGCAGTTGACAACAGTATTTCTGAATGTTTATAATTTGTAGTGAGTGAAGAAATATTTGGATTTATGACTAGAAGTTCATTTGAACATGTAGGTGTCTGTTTGCTTTGATTAGTTAGAGTTTGATTGGATGATTGATTGAAATATTCATTTTCGTATGTTTGATTGATTGGAACTTGATTTGATGGGTTTGTTGTTTGATTGAAATGTTGTTGATTATGATTTAATATTAATATTTGATCTTGTATGTGTCTGATTGAATGGTTGATTAAAAAACTCTTGATTGTTCTGAGAATGTTTAATAGGATTATATTGATAATTTAAAGCTTGATTGTGATTGATTGATTGTTCCCTTTGGATAATTGATTGATTATCTGCTTGATTGTTATATTGTTGATTGATTGGTGAATGGTATGATTGATTGAATGTTCCTGGGTTTGAACTAAATAATGCTTGATTGCTTGCTGAATATGATGCTTGAATACGATTGCTTGACTGGAGATTTGGTGATTGATTTAGTGAATTTGACATATGTGTTTTATTGGTTTTTATTTCATGCAGCAATGAATTATGCTTGTCACCACAGTATTTACAACCTGGTGCAAAACATTCATTGTAAGCATGATTTGACCTGAAACAATTGAAACAGAGTTTCAACTTTTTTATTTCACTAAACCTGGATTTTATTGGGAGTGATAAAAACCTTGAACAATAAAAAATCAAATGTACTTCATTGCAGTAAAGACACTCATTTTTATTATTTGTTTCTTTAGCTCCAGAAAAAAGTGATCGGGATCTATTTTGTTTGTTTGAATGATTGGGTTTTGGAGGATCAATGTTACTGTCCTCTTTGTTTGACAACGTTTCTAACAATTGACATCGGGTGGTTAAAAAAGTTAGAAAATTGTCGGTAGTAGGTAGTACTTTTTTACCAATGTTTGATGTCTCCCATTCCCTCCTGCTAGTCTGATCTATCTTTGTTGTAAGTAGATATATCAAAATAGTGTCCCATTTATCTACAGGCTGTAAAATTTTCTAATATTCTAATATTTTTCTTAACCTCATCAATGAACTGTCTCAACAGGGATGCATTCTCCTTTTCCAAGGCAGGCAACTCAAACAAAGCATGAACATGGTTATGAATTAATAAATGATCATTTTGAAATCTCTCCTTCCACAATGTCCATGCTATGTCGTAATTTACAGATGTTACATCAAGAGAGCTAATCACTACCTCAGCATCACCGGTTAAACAGGATTTTAAATAATGATACTTCTGAACTTTGCTTATTTGCCCGTTCTGATCAATGAGCGACTCAAAAGTTTCACAAAATGGAAGCCATTTGTCAGCACAACCGCTAAAGCTTGGTAAATTGATTAATGGAAGTTTTACATTATTGTTTGATTGCTGTGGCGCGTTGTTTTGATTCTGGCTTTGATTTTGTGCTTCATAATTTTTCAAGATTTTTTGAGCTAAAGACATTGAAGAGTAATAATCACTTTCGAACAATGCTACTTCCTTTTGATCTTTTGCAATTTTCTTGGCATCACTGCCTTCCAAAGCTTGAATTCGAATCATTGTATCAAGATATTTGTCCAAGGAGCACTCAATTAAGACAATTCTTTGTGATAACTAAATGATCCCAGGATCATTAATATCCCCCAAACTATTGCTTTGGTAGCTTGCAAAGGCCTCAACTCAATTACGCCAGGTTCGACTGCTTCGAGATCCATGTTTGATGTTTATAAAAAAAGGTAAATAACGAAAAACTACGCAAGCAAAAGCATGCAAACTGCACAGGCAGGACAATAGGGATGGTAAAAAGGACTTATCTGTTATACGTAGTCGTAGGTACGCCGTCGCCGCGCCGTCGATTCAGTGCTCCACCAAGTCCGCTAGGCTACAGTTTTTTGGTTAGGAACTTCCAAATCCTAACCAAAAACGTCTTGATTCCAACTGCGTCGTGATTGTAGGTCTGTTTTTTCTGATTTCATCCGGCTCGAAGGACCACAATATGATTGATTATAGTTTTGATTAATTTTTTATTGATTTAAAAGAACAATATAACATTTAAATCCTTTTTTTTAATTTTTAATTAATTTTACAGGTTCTGATTGATTACAACAAAATTGTGTATGTCAAAAAATGTAATACAAAAGTCATAAGTCAATTTCATATATTTTAAAAGTCATTCCGTTTGTGAGGTTGGAGCGGTGTAGGCGCTTTCGGTTGGCTGCACCACTTCGCACCAGAGTGTGGAAACAGTGCCATTGCGCAGCGCTATGCAGGCTTAGGTTTGCGAGGCTTCGAGAGGAAAAGCCCAATCTGGCAAGCTACATGGGGTGGCCAGTATCATAGCTCTGTGGGCCGATCCTCGAGCCAGGGAGTGGAGCTCCCCGAGAGAACAAAATTTTCGTCCTTATCATTCTCGTTTACTTTTCGATTACGTTGACAAGGACAAAACATTCGTTCTATCGGGGAGCTCTACTCCCTGGCCCGAGGATCGGCCACCTGGAGTCTAATAAAAAGGACGGGTCTAGAGAACGCACTCACAGATAGGAGATACCACAATAAAGCCCAATTTATAAACTCGCCGTCAAGATTCCGTTTGCGTTTGCGTCGAGCACGTCGTTACCAATTGAATATTAGAAATCCCATAATTTCGTTTATATTCGCCGTAGGCCTTACAGTTGGCCGTCAGCATAGCAAAATATATGATTCAAACAAATCTACAATCTACTGTCGCTTGGATTTGGCTTAACTATAGTTCCCTCTATACAGATCTTAAAGCGTAATAGCCAGAGGATAGTTTTGCAGTATGTTTTTCAATGTGCAAAAGTTAGGGCCTTATCAACACAAATACCAAGAAATCTAACATTTTCCAGATTGTTAATAGGAAATGAACCCAAACTGTCATTTGAGGTAGGTAAACATGTCAGTTGTCAGTATAGGTTTGTTTTTTCCTTAATTGGAGGTATAGACGTAGAAGAGAAGATGGTGCATCTTGCCGACAGAGACAACCCGCAGGCCTATTCTCTACGAACAGAAATTACATAGCAACCAGCAACCGCGTCGCAGTTGCTTCTTTAGAATAGAAAACTCGCGTTTGACAGCGACTTGACAGCGACGATTTCGCAATTCTCTGCGGTCGCAAGTTACAGAATAAGCTGGCCGGTCAGAGTTCTAGGAACCCAGTTGTTGACGTCTAGAGCGCGTCTTTTCTAGGAACTTCATTATATTCCAGAAAAAAAAAATTCTAGATAAATCCGGAGCACGATGTCGTCTATCAATAGCGCGTAGTAGTCTTTGAAACTCAGTCAGTTTAAATACAATACGAGATTTTTTGTGTCGGTACGTTCCGATAAGTGATGAATTTTAGAAAAGTTATTTGAAGTTGTTACTGTTTGTAAACTGAGTCATCAGCCGGATTCGGGATGTCATAAGAAAAATAATTGACAATTTTTAAATCCTTCAAGTAGAAAGACTTATGGCGTGTCCGATTGGTAGTTTCAGTACACACAAGTTCTACCAATCGGAAACGCCATTAATTAAAACCGTCCAAATCTGCCTAATTCTACCGTGATTTACTATTACCACAAACAAAAATAAAGACGAATAGTCTGATAAGGTTCAGGTTCCTTATTCTCGAGACAGGGGAGGACCGCTCTCAGGTTCTGTTTTTCGAATGGGGATGTCACGTCCAGATAATGAATTTTTTGGAACGGAATCCACGAGCTCTTTTTTGGACAAAAATGTTCTGTTTTTGTCACCCATATTTATATTTCCATAACACTGACAAAGACAGAGCAATCGTTCTCATGAGAACGCTGTTTCCCGATTTTGAGAATAAGGACCCAGGTATCTTCCAAAACAGTTACCTATGTTATTGAAAAACTAACAAATAGACCCATCTATTTTATCAGGCAAAGAGGTAATAAATACGAAAACTTCATTAGACAGAAAGAGAACACAGAACGCTCATTGACTCATTGCGCAAGACGAGGCAAAACGTACCAAATTATGTTAGGCTTACGTTAGCAATCCGACCTTCTTATTTGCACGGGACAAAAAGGGAAGGAGAAAGACCGCGTGTTGTGCAACGTATTTGTCAATGAAAATTTTTTTTGAATGTCACTTGTCACCCTATGTCAAGTTGAATATCAACCGTACTTTTATTCTTGTCAAGCCACGGGCAAAGAACAAGGACAACGAGATGAACAACGTGCAAAACGAACACCTCTCACCTGTACTAGTTAGCCAATAAAAAGGCATTGCCTCGTGTTGCGCGCGCATACCAGGTAAAAATAGAAAAGTCTATTGACAATCTGGAAAATAAGCCTAGGAATGTATCGTTCGGGAACCAACGGTTGCATCGCCTTTTCAAAAAATCCAGGGCATGGTAGGCATCAGGTTTACAATAGGTCTGTTCCAACACGTCAAAAACCGGCCCATGAACTGGTTTCTACGCACAAATTTTACGCTTTGCGCAGAATCGTGACGGTACATTGTACAGTTTTCTGCTGTGTTGGAACAGACCTAATATAACTACCAACGAAAGTCCTCTTTTAAACATTTTATGTGTAAATACCTATCTATCTTGAAATCGGAGCTAACTGAAATGCGAGTTCTGATAGCAGAATTTAATTTAAGAAAATACTTACTCATTTGCTTTATGTACTTCAATTCCCAAAACTTGCAAAAGTTGCTGAATCTTCTCCGCAGATGTGCCAATGAACAGGTTGTTCACTAAATCATGAAGTGTCACCAAATAGCAGCCTCTAAAGACATAGGGCTTAGAATTAATACCTCTAAACATTTTGCCGTGGAGCATATATCTTCTCAATTTGTATGCAAGTGTTTCCTGTGGCATATAATTATCTGGCGTTTGGCTGGGTACAATAGGAATAGTTAATTCCTTATTGGCGGTACTATTATTTTGATTTTGCGTCGTCGTGTTTAGTCCATTATTGTCTAAGGTAGGAGGCTGTAAGATTTGTACTGTAGCGGGCGCTTGTTCAACTATGGAGTTTGTTTCACCTGGACTGCAATTGAAAAAATATATGTATGTATATATTTCATAAACAATAGGCGTTTTAAAATGTATATAGTGTGGACCAAAATGTTTGGAAAAACAGTCGAAAAAAATTATTCATGTATACCACGGGCGCAATTGATGTTTACACCACGCAAAGAAAATCAAACACCATTCACGCCTGCGGTACATATAGAAGATTCTATGTACGATCTCGAATAATGTAATTCAAGAAATAAAAATAAATAATGAACGAGCCCCGTTCATAGTCAAATAATTAGTATATTACATTACGAGTGTAGAAAGTGACACATTTCACCATAGGCGCGACTAGGAGGGTGCTTGGGGGTGCTATAAGCACCCCTAAATCAAAAATTAGCACCCCCATTCGGCATCCCACCATAGCACTACTTACAGTGGCACTACCTAAAACTAATATAAAAAATTAGTGCAATCAAATTATTTATTTTTTTTGCACTTTTTGTACTTACTTACGTCATCGATGACGTCATAATTTAGAAAAAAGTATTTGTCGTTGATTAATTTATAGAGCACATTCGCAATTATTATTGTTATGGAAATTTTTCAACCGGAGCCGGTATTACAATATTACCTTAAAATCAAGACTTACCCTAAAATATACGGTTTTTAAGTTATATTTAAGATGACGTCATCGAACAAGGTCAGACAATTAGGCCTATGATGTATCCTCTCCTGTTATTTCAACAGTTGTGTTAAAGCTCAAAATCTATACCTGTCTCTATTTTTATGTGTAGAATAAAAAATGACAAAAATAACAGAAAATGATACATCATAGGCCTGAATGTTGTCAATGTCTGTTTTTCTATATCTTAAGGTGACATTAAAATATCGACCCTTGAAAAATCATTGGAGTCCCAAATATATAAATTAATTAACTGCGTATTATACAGGGTGTTCCTAAATATTATGTACAAACGGCAAAAGGTGATTCTTTGTTCTTTTTTTTATGACTGAAATCTCAAATATGATGAGGAGCTCATTTTACGAAAATTTCAAAATTTTCCAGTAAAAAATCACTCCGGGAAAAATTTTAAAAAACTAACTTTTTTAAGCAAAATAAAGGAGAATTCACCCTTTTACATTTTAATTTTTTCTAGAAATCTGGAAAATTGTAAAATTTTTCCAGAAGAAAGAGAAAAGTGAGGAGCTTATTATAGGAATATTTCAACATTTTCCAGTGGCAAAAGGAAAATTGTGAAAATTTTCCAGAAAAAAAGAGGAAAATAAAGATCTCATTATAGCAAAATTTTAAAATTTTCGAATGTAAAATCACTCCATAAAAAGTTCTGGAAAATTGATTTATTTTAGCAAAATTAGAAAAATTCACCCTCTTACATTTTAATATTTTTCTGGAAAATTTGCAAAGGGAAAATTTTGAAAATTTTCCAGGAATAAGCGGAAGAGGAGTTCATTTTACGAAAATTTTAAAATTTTCCAATAAAAAATCACTCCAGGAAAAATTTTGAAATACTAACTTTTTAAAGCAAAATTAAGGAGAATTCCCTCTGTTATATTTTAATTTTTTTCTTGAAATCTGGGAAAGAGGAAAATTGTGAAATTTTTCCAGAAGAAAAAAAAAAGTGAGGAGCTCATTATAGGAATATTTCAAAATTTTCCAATGGAAAATCACTCCAGGAAAAATTCTGGGAAATTGAGTTTTTTAGGCAAAATTCACCCTCTTACATTTTAATTTTTTTCTGGGAAAGTAGCAAAAGGAAAATTGTGAAAATTTTCTAGGAATAAGAGGAAAATGAGGAGTTCATTTTACGAAAATTTTTAAATTTTCCAATAAAAAATCACTCTAGAAAAATTTTTGAAATACTAACTTTTTTAAGCAAAATTAAGGAGAATTCCCCCTAATATTACCTTGCATTTTTTGGGACTTACACCTCAATTGAAATTAATACCAGAAGTTTCTTGATTTTGATACGAATAACTACAAGCTCTCTGATTAGAGCAATTTTACCTATCAGATTATTTTTATAAAATAAATTACTCGAATCGACTTTTTATAAACGAATCGAGTTTTATTATTTCAATAAAATAATACTTGATTAGGCTCGGTGGTATGAGTTCTGGATTTTTTGCTGACGTTTCGGTACCAAATCTGCTACCGTTGTCGAAGCTTGGGGGATGGAACACCTAAAAAATAAAAAAGGCAGCAAATTGTTCGGTTTTTTCGTAAATTTATTTGAATACTCGAATTTGAGGTGTAAGTCCCAAAAAATGCAAGGTAATATTATAAATTCACCTCAAACATACAGACATTTGTTACAAAACAAGAGTTCCCCCTGTTACATTTCAATTTTTTTCTAGAAATCTGGCAAAGGGAGAGTTGTGACATTTTACCAGAAGAAAGAGAAAAGTGAGGAGCTCATTATAGGAATATTTCAACATTTTCCAGTGGAAAATCACTCCAGGAAAAATTCTGGGAAATTGAGTTTTTTAGGCAAAATTCACCTCTTACATTTTAATTTTTTTCTGGGAAACTAGCAAAAGGAAAATTGTGAAAATTTTCCTGAAAAAAAGAGGAAAGTAAAGATCTCATTATAGCAAAATTTCAAAATTTTGGAATGAAAAATCACTCCATAAAAAGTTCTGGAAAATTGATTTATTTAAGCAAAATTTAAAAAAATTCACCTTCATACATTTTAATTTTTCTCTGGAAAATTTGCGAAGGAGAAATTTTGAAAATTTTCCAGGAAAAAAGGAAAATGAGGAGCTCATTTTACGAAAATTTCAAAATTTTCCAGTAAAAAATCACTCCAGGAAAAATTTTGAAAAAAATAAATTTTTTAAACAACATTAAGGAGAATTCACCCTCTTACATTTTAATTTTTTTCTAGAAATCTGGCAAAGGAAAAATTGTGAAAATTTTCCAGAAAAAAGAGAAAAATAAAGAGCTCATTATAACCAAATTAAGGAAAATTCACACTCATAAATTTTAATTTTTTTCTGGAAAACTGGCAGAGGGAAAATTTTGAAAATTTTCCAAGAAAAAGAGGAAAGTGAGGGGCAGATTATAAGAAAATTTCAAAATTTTCCAATGAAAAATCGCTCCAGGAAAAATTCTGAAAAAATGACTTTTTCAAGTAAAATTAAGAAAAACTCATCCTGTCACATTTCAATTTATTTCTGGAAAACTAATATAGCAAAACTTGTGAAATTTTTTCAGGAGAAAGAAGAAAATGAGGAGCTCATTATAGGAAAATTTCAGAATTTTCTAGTGAAAAATCACTCCAAGGAAATTCGAGAGGAAAGTTCTGGAAAATTGACGTTATTAAGCAAAATTCATTCTTTCACATTTCAATTTTTTTCTGGAAAACTGGCAAAGCAAAAATTGTGAAATTTTTCCAGAAAAAAAAGGAAAGTGAGGAACTTAATATAGGAAAATTTCATAATTTTCTAGTGAAACATGACTCCAGAAAAAATTCTAGAAAATTGAGTTATTTGAAAATTTTCCAGGAATAAGAGGAAAATGAGGAGCTCATTTTATGAAAATTTCAAAATATTCCAGTGAAAAATCACTCCAAGAAAAATTCAAAGAAAATTGAATTATTTAGGCAAAATTAAGGAAAATTCACCTTCTTACATTTAAATTTTTTATGGAAAACTGACAATGGGAAAATTTTGAAATTATTACAGGAGAAAAAGGGAAGTGAGGAGTTCATTAGAGGAAAATTTCAAAATTTTCCAGTGAAAAATCACTCCAGGAGAAATGTATTTATATATTTTCGGATAACTGAATAAACTCTATTCTAAGTTAAAAAATGTATTACAAAACAATAATTTCGAAGGTTCTTTATGAATTAATCTATGACTTAACTTTTTCTCTAAGTTATGACGTCATCGATGACGTAAGTGAAAACCTTCGTGCCGTGCAACGAACTATATATGTTTGTTTGAAATTTCAGACATAAAAAAACCTATTTTTTTAAAAAAAAGGCAAATGATGGCGTAAGTACAAACCCTCGTGAAACTAACTTTTTTTACGCGTCTCATTTCCTTTCTATCAAACCCCATAAAAAAAATTAAAAAATGGTGCTGCAGCACGCCTCAAATTTGGAGCCTAGTTGCGCTTATGCATTTCACACGAGTGTTTTTTCGTGCGAGACGGTAGTTCGAAAATTACACAAGTGTATGGAAGAAGCTTTCTCACAAGTGATGTACACTATTTTTCCTACGCTCAGAAACCGATTTATACTCATTTTCTCTTATTTCATTTCGTTTCATTTACAACACACGTGCTGAAAGTACTTTTAGAATGCGTATTGAAAGTACTTTCGGCACCGTGGATTTTGTCATTTCCGTATGTGGTCGTAGGAGAAAACAAATACGGAGGCTATTCATATCCGTCACTAGTAGAAACTGCCGCTACCAACCAAACAAACACTCAATTATTATTTTCCTACAACCACATACGAAAATGACAAAATCCGCACTAGCTGGTTCTTTGGAAAGCAAGAAATATCACACACGTGCTGAAATTACTTTCAATACGCTTGCTTAAAGTACCTTCAGCACACGTGTGGAAAATACTGTTGTCATTATTTGTGATTGACATCACAATTTATTTTCAATACGTGGATTGAAAGTACTTTCAGCACGTGTGTTGAAAATGAAAAGAAATAAAATAAGAGAAAATTGGTGTAAATAGGATTCTGCTCGTAGGAAAAATTGTGTACATCACTTGTGAGAAAGCGTATTTCATACACTCGTGTGATTTTCGTACTCGGCTACCGCGAAAAAACACTCGTGTGAAATTTGTCACTTTCTACACTCGTAATGTAATATGTATACTATTATGATATGTGATTTATACAAATCATTTTGGTTCGTTTTTAAAGTGTTAAAATAACAAATCTTATGTGTCCAGTTTTTGACACCTATTAATTCCGTTACTTTGCGGCCCTAGAGCCTACGGCAGCAAATTATCAAATTTTGTTCGCAAAAGAGATCGCAAAATAT